CTGGGGGCATCTTGGAACTGTGCAGCTTACACACAGTTCACACAGGCTGGCTCTTCTGTTATGCACAGTGAGAAAATTGAATTTCCAACCTCTGGCTCTGCAGGCAGATGCCTTGGTCACTGAGCTATCCAGCCAACTCAAAAGACATTTTATTGGTGTGGGATTTTGCAAACATTTGATAAATAGAGCTTAGTCTTTTTCTGGTTTAAGTAGAGGTGACCCCAGTCAAAATTTCCTCCTTGCTACTCTCTCTTTGGCCCTTTTACTTAAGAATGCTTTGGCCCAGTTAAGAATTTCTTGCTCAGTCTTCCCCCTGCCCTGCAAATGATGCCGGGGTGGGGTGGGGATTCATTGTCAGACAAAGTGGGATCATTGTTACAGGTTTGTTGGGGATAAATTTGTAGATGCCCGTGTCACAAATGTTAGCTTTATAGGAGTTGCTGTAGAGATTGTTGAATATTGTGTTGTCTTTTCAGAACAATGTAAACTGTTTTGTAATGTTATGTAAAAAGACCCTGAATATGAGAAACATTTGGCAACTTAAATTGATAAAAAGTAATAATTGTATTAAATAGATGGCTCACATGGTTTACATTCAGTCTTGGCATAGAAAACAGACAGAATGAGCTGTATGGTGTCTGAAGAAATTGGTGAATTAAGTGTTTTTTACTTAAATCACAGAGATTTTAATAATGAACGTGTGACACAGTAATATTTGAGGTCAAGTGTGCATGTAATACTGTTTATAAAGTAATTAAAAACTATACATGTCAGAGTTTGCTTTATAATGTCTAGAAAACATAATGAACTTAAGTTTCATGAATAAATTTACATGAAGAATTGAAAATCTTTTTGCATATTATAATTATCTCATGAGTGATTAATAACTGTGATAATTAAGACTACAGATCCTAATTTCTGGGATAGCAGTTAGTATTATTAATTATTTTGACCAAACTCCAGGAGGCAGTGGAAGACAGGAGGGTCTGGCATGCTCTGGTCCATGGGGTCACAAAGAGTCAGACACGACTAAACAACAAACAACAAAGAATGATTGATGATACAATCAGCAGAAAGTGTTTGCTTTTTCATGATCTCTGTGAATCACGCATATGGGTTCTTTCTACACCTATGTGAAACTCCCTCAGAACTTTCCAAAGCCTAAAAAAGTCCATTAGATTGACTTCCTGGACTGCATGTTCTCCACCCACCCTATGGTAAATCGTCATTTCCCTTTCAACTGCCACTGAAAAAAACACCTGCTGGATCGTTTCAGAGCCTTCTTTTGGGGGGAAAACAGTTAAAACTTACCTTGCCCTCACCCAGACAATATAGGCAATTAGTATCTGTCTGAGAGGGGGATCGTCCGTGCTTTCACTGATTTTCATCATCAGCAGCTTCCACAATCTGGGAGAGGTCTTATCCACCCCATAATCAATATCACAAATGTCACCATACTTACTCTGCTGCAGAAGCTATGTACCTTATCTATGATGGCAGCGTGCCACACATGTCCATATTGGCATTTTACCATCCATACTTGACCTGGTAAAAGAGTCCTGGGTTAAACAATCTTCTCTGCTGCCAACTTCCAGAAGGATGAAGAACATTTACAAAATCCAAGATAAGGATGTCACCTTCCTGCTGAATTCAGTCATTGTGGAGGCCTCCAAAACAAGATTAAGGAGTTGTCACAACACAACTCCAACTAACTGGGAGCTTTCTAGTTAGAGAGCACTCAGAAATGGTTTACCATTCCCTTCTTCGGGGGCATCTTGAGACTGTGCAGCTTGCCCAAGGCCACACAGGTTTCAGCCACTGCATTGGGAATAATAATAGCAAATCATCTGACTGCAACAGGAGCATACCACAGATTCCTGTGGGACAAGATCTTGTTCTTCCTAAACAGCCTACTATGTGCTTGTTTATGAATATTATCTCTCCAGGCATATTTGGCATTCTTCAACATTCAAAGGGAAAGCAGCTTGAAAAAACTGTCACTCAAGAGTTAGCAGACTATCATTGATGAATATCTCCAATTTCATGTTTCGGATGTCCCCACCTCAAAATTCAAATCACAACCAATGCAAGGTTGGGGAGTTCATTGTCAAAATCAACAGATTCATGCCTATTGGTCTGAGAACAAGAATGGCTTCATATAAAAAAATTTAGAGATGTTAGCCATCAAGAAATCCTACAGAGCACTTGTAACAATGATCAAGGGAAAGTAGTACAAGTGGCTAAAGATGCTACCACCACGATGTACTGTGAACAAACAAAATGGAACACATTCCATGACTCTGCTATACCTTGCCATTCAACTATGGGAATGGTTCATTCAGCCTCACATTTTTCCAATGGCTGTTCATGTAGCAAGAGAGGACGGTCACTTGGCCAGTAATCTAAACACTCCAGACTTGATAACTCAGATCTGGTTTGTCACCCAGATCTCGCCAGACTGAATCTTACAGCATGGAGAATTCTCTAATGATAAAATGCATTATTCTCCAAGCCAAGAAACCCTCCACTAGATGAAATTAGGCATATAAGTGGAGAAAATTTGTGAACTTTGCAAAGTCTAAAGGAGTAGCCTACCACCTAGTCTTCATACTGTGCTACCCTTCCTATGGCTTTTGAAAGACCAATGTCTATCTCATTCCTCAAAGTACATCTGTCTTCTATAGTAGTACCTCAACTCCAGGACTCCTCAGCCTCTCGGTTTTTCTGACATTCTACCCTAAAAATTCCTAAAGGGTTTGGAAAACTTTTAGGCTGACACACTATTCCCTTTGCCACAGTGGTCACTCCCATTGGTCCTTAAACAAGTCACAAGACCACCCTTTAAATCTTAGGCAACCTCAGATCTTAAGCTCCTGTTGTACAAGACTGTTTCTTGTTGCCATAACCTTGGCTTTGAGAGCAGGTAAGCTTGGTGGTCTAAGATATGATCCGCCCTTTAAATTAGACAGGGATAAAGTCACCATCTTGCTGGATACAACCTCCTAACTAAGTTGGTGTTGGATTTCCACGTAAATTAACCTCTAGTACTTCCAGCATTTTTTCTTTCTCCATCTTCAAAGCTGGACAGATCACACATACTTTGGATGTTCAGAGTCCTCGTGTTTTGTTGTTGTTTAGTTGTTTAGTCGTGTCCGACTCTTCATTGACCCCAGGGACCAGAGCACGCCAGGCCCTCCTGTCTTCCACTGCCTCCTAAAGTTGGATCAAATTCATGTTGGTAGCTTCAGTGACACTGTCCAACCATCTCATCCTCTATCATCTCCTTCTTCTCTTGCCTTCACACTTTCCCAACATCAGGGTATTCTCCAGGGAGTCATCTCTTCTCATGGGATGGCTAAAGTATTGGAGCCTCAGCTTCAGGATCTGTGCTTCCAGTGAACACTCAGGGTTGATTTCCTTCAAAATGGATAGATTTGTTCTCCTTGCAGTCCAGGGGACTCTCAAGAGTCTCCTCCAGCACCACAATTCAAAAGCATCAATTCTTCTGCGGTCAGCATTCTTTACGGTCCAGCTCTCACTTCCATGCATCACTGCTGGAAAAACCCTAGCTTTGACTATGCGTACCTTTGTTGGCAAGGTGATGTCTTTGTTTTTTAAGATGCTGTCTAGGTTTGTCATTGCTTTCCTCCCAAGAAGCAGGAGTCTTTTAATTTCGTGGCTGCTATCACCGTCTGCAGTGATCATGGAGCCCAGGAAGGTAAACTCTGTCTGCCTCCATATCTTCCCCTTCTATTTGCCAGGGTGTGATGTTAGGTATTTTTGATGTTGAGCTTCAGACCATTTTTTGCGTTCTCCTCTTTCACTCTTATTAAGTGGTTCTTTAATTTCTCCTCACTTTCTGCCATCAGAGTGCTATCATCTGCATATCTGAGGTCAATGTTTATTCTTGCCATCTCCTGTTTGACCACATCCAGTTTATCAAGGTTCATAGATCTTACATTCCAGCAGCATCGGACTTTCACTCCCACGCATGTCCGTAGCTGAGTGTCCATTCGGTTTTGACCCAATCACTTCATTAGCTCTGGAGCTACTTCTACTTGTCCTCTGCTCTTCCTCAGGAGCATGTTGGACGCCTTCCGACCTGAAGGACTTATCCTCCAGCGCAATATCTTTTAGCCTTTTGTTTCTGTCCATGGAGCTTTCTTGGGAAAGATACTGGAGTGGCTTACCAGTTCCTGCTTTACGAGGATTGCATTTAGTCAGAACTCTTCATTATGACCTGTCCTTCTTGGGTGTCCCTGCACGGCACCATAGCCCATAGCTTCTCTGAATTACTCAAGCCCCTTCGCCATGACAAGGCAGCAATCCATGAATGGTTAAGATATTAGGCCTTTTGAAAAAATTATTCATGCAGCCATACTCATGCATGTAGTTTGTGTCTTCTGGTAGGGTGTCTGTTTTGCAATTGATAATGCACTGGATGTGAACAGCCACTCCTGTTGTGCAAACTGTGCAATTATTGTGCATCTTTTTTTCATCACTTCTCTTTATAACAAAATGAACACTTCTTGTATTTTGACATTATGCTTCAGATTTACATTTTATAGTTAAAAAAAACAAAAGATTTTTCACTTACTGATACTTGTTAGTACGAAACAAAAATTTAACCCACCTAGAATATTTTCATGTTTATCCTTTGTTAGGAGCATATTAATCGATTATAGGCAGTTAATTGGCACCCAGAGACTTCGTAAATACTGGCAGTATAGGTTAAAACATTCAGTGAAGGTTGCAGCACCTTTTTCATAAAGAATGCTTGAGTCTCTCTGTGTGGTTTATCCAAGTTCCTAGTTTGGAACTTGTGAAAGAGTGTATGTGTAACAGAAAAAGAGAGATCTAAAAAGGAGTAGAAACTATATGGCTCTGCAAATTTTCTTACAGTCAGCTATTAATAACTACAGTAGTGTCTAAAATGTAGTGGGATCAGTGTTCATAATGTGTAATGGCAATATCATGTTATTCTTCCTTTTTTCCTGCAGGTTGGGAATGCTCGGGTTGAACTCACACTTTCAGAACTGCAGGATATGGCTGCCAGGCAACAGCAGCAAATTGAAAATCAGCAACAAATGTTGGTTGCCAAGGTAAACTGTACTTCTCTTAACATGAGAAAAGAGAGAAATGAACATGTGGTATCTTCAAAGAAGATTCTGAATCCCAGCAATGTAGAAAACACTTACAATTTTCTATTAATTCTATGTAGGCTCCTCTTGTGCTTGTATTTGTCAAGACCCTCTTCCCACCCAGGCCTCAAAGTTTAGTGTAAATGACATTTTTGTACTGCATTAGAGAACAGAAATGAACGTAAGAACTATGCTGGATTAATCCAAATGCTGATCATGTCCAGCATTCTGTTTAGGTAACAGACAATCAATTACATATGGGAAGTCCATAAGCAGAACATGCATATCACAGCACCTCCTGCTTGTGTTTTGATGTGGAAGGATGCACAAAGGCATACTGTCTCTGGTCCTGGAGGAAATATGCATCTTTCATCACTAGTAGCGGCTGAGAACCCCATCTTCCATGAGTTTGTCTAATCCCTTTTTAAAGTTGTATGAATCTGCAGATGTCGCTATTCATGTTTTGAATCTGGCAACTTAACTGTGTTGGGTGAAGAAGCATGTTCTTTCTGTTCATTAAATCATACTGAATTCACTTAGTACTGAAGTGAATTGAATAGCTTTTAAGTTATATATATTGTTTTGTGTAGAAAAAAAATACTACGGAAAAAAGAAGGCATTTCCTGTATTTGTTCATTCTAGAGAAGTGGCATTTATCTTACTCCTGATCTCCTTATCTTTGGCTGTTGGTAGTCCTCTGGTGACCATTGCTTCCTTTGGGAAATTGTGTAATGGAGGGTTAGGACCCATTTGCTGTAGAAGGAAGCATGTTTGAGGAGCAGGAAGTACAAGTTCCAGGAAGTGTCACAGATGTGTTGGAATGAATGTTTCTGCTGGACTTTTTTTTTTTAAAATGTGTACATGAGAGATTTGACTTAAGATTCAGAAGTGAAATGTCTGGTATTGTTTGGAGGATGTAATCTAGACAGATGAACTTAGTCTAACTGCTTCTTTTAAAATTAATGTCATGATAGTGTTAATTATATTTGTTTGAAGGTTTAAATGAAGACAAGAAAACTGTTGCGTAGTTTAAAGGTTGACTATCTTACTGGGGAATTTTCTAAACATAGAACAGCATGATTACATGTTGTACTTGTTTTCATAGGAACAGCGTTTACGTTATCTCAAACAACAAGAACGCCGTCAGCAGCAGTCTGTGTCTGAGAGTGAAAAACTTCAGAAACTCAAAGAGCGAGTGGAAACCCAGGAGATGAAGCTAAAAAAAATCCGTGCCATGAGAGGGCAGGTGGATTACAGCAAGATTATGAACGGCAATTTGTGTATGGGTGCTTTCTTCCCATTTCATTCACTTCTGTCACACGAACTTGGTCTGATAGTGCAACTTCTGCATTCTTTGTTTAGTAGTTGATTTAGGGCAAGACAAACTTAGTACGTAATATACTTCTATAGTTGAAGAACTGTCATATTCTAATTGTATGGTAAAACACTGAGCCATTCTGAAATCAGACAGTCCGCTGGAAGCCATTTCGGCTCTTATGACTATTTTTAACAGCTGTTATGCTGAAAGTGAAATTGTACAGCATTTCTATCTTAGTTCACACTTTCCTCTTTGTTGTTGTGAACCTGTGCTTATGCAGGACCTTGCTATAGATTTCCATATATTGGTAGAATTGGTGGTGTGAATGACTAAAACAGAAACACAGTACAGTGGTGCCTCGCTTAACGAGCGCACCGTACAACGAAGAAATTGCATAGCGTTCCCATTTTTGGGATCGCTAATGCGATCGCTCAACGACTTTTAGATAAGGCAAAACTCGCATTTCGCTTACCGATCTTCGCAAAAACGAAGCCCCGACGATCAGCTGTTCGGCGGACAAAATGGCCGCGCACAGCGTTTCCGCGCCCTCCCCTCGCTTAACGAGGACGCGAAAATGGCTGCCGGCCATAGGAAACTTCGCTGATGTTTAATGTGTTCCAATGGCTTTCCCTGTCCCGTTCAGCGATGTTTCGCTATAGCGAAGGTTAATCCGGAACGGATTAACCTCGCTATGCGAGGCACCACTGTATTAATATTGGAAAATTTTAGTTTCATAATGGCTTTCAATGCTGGAAAGTGTTATTTGCGTGTCTTGAAACAAGGATGGGAACAATGTGTTCTGTTGGCAGCATGTAAACCCTCCCATGTGTTTTGTAGCCCTCAGGCTAACCTGTCTGGGCTGGAGGAACTTTGAAAAAAATCATTTTCGGGGAAAAAAGAGATAATCACCATTCCTGGAAGCCTCCAGGGCAGTGATTCTGCCCTAAAGCAAGGTACAGGGCTTTGCTTCCCTGTATGAGGAAGCGAAAGTGCAGGCTTTCTGGAATCCCTTCAGTACTCTGTTTCTGAGGGGAGCGGGTATACAGGAGGTTGCCCCATAGTAAGCAATTTGTCCTAGACACATGGAACAGGAAAATAATGCAAATTATTTCATATCAGCTGCCATTTCTTAGTCCCCTGAATTTCCTATGTACCCTTTTTAATATAATTAATGTAATTTTTAAAAACAAAATTATTTTGACAGTCTATTTGTTTCAAAGAGGCTGGTGGAAATCTTTGGCCCATATATGACAGGGATGGGACCTAATAGTGCTTGCTGAGGGCAAGGTCCTCTCTGAGTAGCCAGCTTGTCTTTCTGTCTCAGGCAGGGTTAAATTCTTACCTCCAGCTGGAGAGAGAAGATTCTTCTGCCCCATACCACAACAATGCTTAATTTAGGATTTTGAAAGCTGCACCCCCCATCCCCTCCAAGTTGTAATCAGGCCACAAAATCAGTTTGACCCTTTGGTTGCAAAATATTCTCCATCATTGTGTTTTGACCTTGTGTCCAATTTGTGTGTTTTGTGTTATGTTGTATTTGCAGCTACAGAAATAGAACATATCAGTGCCATGTTCCAGGAGAAGCAGCAAGAGTTACAAGCTGCAGTTTTAAAAGTGGACCAGCTTACTCAGCAGCTAGAAGACCTGAGAAAAGGGAAGCTGAATGGTTTCCAGTCTTATAATGGACAGATGACAGGGCCTGCAGCTGTAGAATTAAAAAAACTGTACCAAGAATTACAGGTAAAGAACCAAAGCATGTTTTTGAGGTAGCACTTATTAACATTTTCCCATTCATACTTTTAAAAGTCCGTATTAGTTCTCTTGAACAAAATGTTTATGATCTACCAAACTGAGCAGGCATTTATTTTGTCCTGCTCTGTGTTTATTACTGTCAAAGGCAGACAGTTAACAACAGGACCCTTGCATGGCTGAAACACAGTTTTGCCTGAGATGTATGATGATAAGTCAGAAATGCCAGTGAATGCATACAGATTAGAGATGTGTGCTTCGTATTTGTGTCTAGGAAATCACAGCAGTATAGCTGCCGCCATGGTCCATTCTCCCCCCCCCCTTCCAATGAGCCTGGTCCACTTACTGGGCTCCATGCAGTGCACACACATCAACATTGCCATCACACCAATTGTATATGTTGCCCTGCTGCCGCTTCCCCATCTCTCCCCACAGTCAAACACTCAGCAGCTGAGTGGGGAGACTTGTCTTCCCACCTCCTCGTTGGCCAGCTGCAGGGAGAGGTGGGGAAGTGCCAGCAGGACTACATCCACAATTGTTGCAACAGTTATGCTGATGGACGTGCATGCTGCACAGAGCCCAGTAAATGGAACAGGCTGGTTCTGGGGAGTGGGGATGGACTGTGGTGGCAGCTGTGCTGCTGCACTTCTCGATACAAATATGCTTTGTATTCATATCCCCTGGATACGAATACAAAGAAAACATCTCTAATACTGATATGAGAAGGCTAACAGATTTCAGGTGTTTGAACCGAACTCTTAAGAAGAGTAGAGGTAGGAATATGAACCATAAGCCAAAATCCAAATTGTGATAATATCTTTTATTAGGCCAGAATAAAAGTTCTTTACATCACTAGATCCTTTCTTCACACAAGATGTCATAAAAAGCAAGTGGAGAGTGGTTTGGGTAAGAGTTTGTAGTCACCATGTTGCTTTGAGATGTACTGAGGAGGAAAGATCTACAGGCTTTCAAATAGGGGTTATCAGCAGATGCGTACATTTCATCACACAAGGTGTAGTCCTAGGCTTGTGAGATTGAGGGGAAAAAGTAATAACATTTGAGTGTCCTCTTTGAAAATGTCAAACTATGGACCTATTTAGATTTTAGGTGTGTGTTAGGCCAGAGGAACCTGGCTCAAAAGAACTGCATAATTCATTCTGTATGTGCAAGGGTTTATGTTTCTTAAGAGCAACCCCTGTAACAAATGAGTTTCAAAAAGTGGTTTGAGATGCAGAATGAGAATCTGTAGTTCATGCCAACAGCATGGGAGGGGATCCATGAAGCACAACAAAGCTCTCCAGAATGCTTAAAACTTATTTTGGGCTTTGCCCACATATTCTAATGTTCCGTTTTTTTAAAAGACAAATGAAGTAGTGCCAGTAGCTCATTGTGTCTATGTTTTGAGAAAAAGGCAGGATACAAATGAAATAGAGAAATCAAAATAAACTTTAAATTATAACTACCATATATTTGACAGATCCGTAACAGGCTTAACCAAGAACAGAACACCAAACTTCAACAACAGAAAGAACTCCTGAACAAACGTAACATGGAGGTAGCCATGATGGACAAGCGCATCAATGAGTTACGCGAGCGCCTATACAAGAAAAAAGTTGAGGCACGTCAAAAAGAAAACATTCCTGTAAGATAAACTATTAAAAGGGCCACATTTCAGTGATTTCTACAAGGCCTATAAGTCTTCTCCTCCCTTCTGTCCCAGAATGATAATAATGACAAATATGTATGTCTCTTAAATGTTTCTATCATGTAAGTTGAAATTTAATGTGAAAATATCTGTTCTTGAGCAAGAATACTATTATTGGTAGAGTAGAAGTAATAAAGCGCTTATTAACTCCTCTTCTTTTAGCTAACATGGCTGGATTGTGTTAGAAGGAGAATATATCTTAATTGCCAAGTAAATTAATAAACAGCATATTATGCAGGCTGATTCACTCCTACATGGAGCCAATAATCAGAAGGAAGACATTTGAAAGAATGTTTCTGGATACCATCTGAAATGAAAGGGACACCACGTAATTAATGAATCACAGTAGTTGGGAATTAAGATGTTCTTTACAGATTGGGGGGGGGGATATCCAGAGGGGTGTAGGATAGTGTGTACAAATGAAAACTAACTTTTTGAATTGTAGTGAATTTTTTTGCATGTTTTAATTATACATAAGGGGAGTGGGGAGGGTCTGCAGATGGATAGCCAGATGTTAACACAACTGTTGATTTGTCATTTTTTAGTTAAATCGGATAAATGGAACATCCTCACCTCAGTCATCAGTGAATCCATCAGGAAGAGTTGCAGCAGTGGGGCCATACATTCAGGTTCCTAGTTCCAGCAGTTACACTGTGCCAGTTGACCCAGTGAAGCCACAGTCTCTCACCATTACTACCAATGCAACCCATGGAAGATCCAAGTCTGGTAAGCACCATAACAGTCACTGATGTTTCATGAAACAATGGAGTAGTCTTTGTAGATGGCCTTGTGTGCATCCATCAAGCCCAAAGTGGTTAGCTTTGTCACTGTTCTTTTTCACATTGAAAATTTTAGTTCTTTGACAAAAACATGAACCATTATACTTCTTTTGGACGCAGAACACTCTCCTCCTAATCCCTCCCAGCAAACAGGGGATTATGTACACAGTGTATTTAGATTTTCAATGGAGGATAATGTGTAACACACTAACACAGTTCTTTCCAAATAAATTAGACACATTGAACATTTGGGAGATTTGTCTCTTATTTTAGTGAATCTGAACAAGCAAGTACACTGTATATACCTTGAATTGTAGTCACGTGCAGCTTAATTACATAGGTACTATCTTTGAAAACTGACCTTTCTTCTCCAGGAACTTAATGTGGAAACAGTTTCTGCTCTGATTCCTTACAAACAGAATGCAAGGCTTCTTTTTCACTGTCAAGTTATCATAATTTTGTCCCTGTATTTTCCTGTTATCTTTTTACCTTTTATCTCTCTCTTGACATCTGTGTTGTATTTTTTTCCACATCCTTGTTTTTCCCCCTTTTCTTTTTCTGTGTGACTGGATCTGGTCATCTCTTGTAGATACAGACTATGGGTGTGTGAAAAAATCTCCAGGTCCCTGGAAGATTTCTGATTTAGACATTATAGTGGATCCTATTCTGTCACCTTCCTCTCTTCAATCTGCTGTCCAAAATATCATCCATTCAGCACCTGCTCTTTCTGAGGCCCTGCACTGTGAGTCTACAGAAGATCATTGACAAGCTATTTTTAATATGGTCATCTGAACTCTGGTGTACAGATGCATATTAAACAGGAATTTTTAGAAATCATGTCATGTGCTGCATTGTATTGTAGAGGTGTGTGTTTGTCACTATGTTTGGGGGGGGTTTCAGCAACTAAACAAATATTTTAGTCCTCCTCTGCATATGGGTGAAAAACTTGATAGTTAACTAATCGTGAAAAAGCTGGCAGGTTTAATCTAGAAGGCTTGAATAAATCATCAGACACTCAATATGGGTAAGCCATAAAATTGACTGAAATCCTGTTGTTTATTATAGTAAGTCACAAAGAGAGTAGGCCCATTGAAACAGTGGAACTTATGAAGGAGTTGGTGCACCAAATCCTCACTGATTTAATGGCCCTTCCCTAGTTGCAGCTTACTACCCTGAACAACAGGATTTCTGCCACAGGGTACATTTTATAATAGGTTAAATGATGTTGGTTGTAGGCAATCTCTAGGTCTGTTTTTGGGTGGCTGTTTGCATCATTACATTGCAGTTTTATATCCCATTATTTGGCAGGAAATCTTATTGCACTTAGTGGGACTTAGCATTTGAGTAAACAAAAACTTGGACTCCTATTTTATAATAGAAAGTAAATTAGTGGAACACAATAAAACAAACTTCTGAGCAAAAATGATAAAGGCTTCACTGTTAACTCTTACCTAGTTTCCCCTGAAATGGAATGGAAATTCAGTTTCACATAGTTTCAGGTATTTGGCAATTGTGAACAAATAGTGCCAAACTTAATAGCATTGGTGAAATTAATTTTCTGTATGAAAACACCTGAGTACCTGATTCATTGAGACCAGCTGCACTTGTATCTGGGGTCAACTGGGCATTACTTCTTCAGAAGAAATGTTAACATGAGGCTTTTGCCAGAGCCTTCCTCCACCTGTCTTCCTTAGGATGTTATCCCCATCCTGTCCATGCTGATTTTGGCAGTTGCAGACTAGCCTATCTGCAGGAGGTTAGGATGGAGAGAAGTGAGTTACACAATCCAAATGATAGCTGGCTCACCCACAATGATACAGATCACTTTGCCTTACATGTCATCTCCCCCATGTTACTTCTATCTTTAGTTTGTTAGAATGAGTCTTAAAGTTTGTGTTAACTTTACATTAGAGTTGGGGGGGAATTCGTATTCATATATGAATATCCCGCACAGGTGCAGATAACGAGGACCTACCACTCACGATTCCACCACTGCCTCAAGCTTCAGGGTGGCTTCCTATCCCTCTGTCACTCACAATGGATTAGCCACTCTGCGACCTGGCAGAGATGTTTGTCATCCTGCCTCCTGCCAGGGGTGGCTAATCCATTGCGAGCAATGGAGTGATTGGAAGGCACTGTGGAGCTCGCGGCAGTGGCGGAAATGTGAGTGGTCTGTCTGTGGGGGGATATTCGTACAGTGGTGCCTTGCATTACGATGTTAATTCGTTCCAGTGAAATTGCTGTAGAACGAAAACATTGTAAAGCGATTTTTAAAAGCCCATAGAAATGCATTCAAACCCGATTAATGCGTTCCTCTGGGCTTGAAACTCACCATCCAGTGAAGATCCTCCATTGCGCAGCCATATTCGCTGCCTGTGCAGCGAGGAATCCGTCCCAGAAAACAGCGGGTGGCCAATTTTTTTACCTGGTGGCCATTTTGAACCCGCCGATCAGCTGTGCGAAAATCGTCGTTTTGCGATAATCGGTTCCCGAAGCAGGGAACCGATCATCGCAAAGTGAAAAAACCCCATAGGAAACATCGTTTTGCGATCGCTTTTGAGATCACAAAAACTTCGTTGTTATGCGATTTCGTCGTAAAACGAAGCACTCGTCTTGCGAGGCACCACTGTATATGAATACGAATATCTCCATCTCTATTTACATCATATATTTCCTGAGCCCATTGAGAATTCCAGTATTGTTCCTGAGTGGGACTGGCCTACTGACAACATTCAACTTCTCTGAATTATGATTTCTGAAAAATGACATGGGATTTTTTTGTCTCTTTAATCTAGGATATAATAAAAACCCCAGAGGTAGGGTGGGAAAGGGTAAGGCCTACTTATAAGTTTAGGATGTGGCATATCACTTAGATGTAAGGTGTTTATTTTAAATGTGAAATTGTTGTTTTGGTGTTGGGCAGCTCCCAAAGAAGGATATTTACTCTGAGCACTCAGGAACCTTGGGGTGGGGGGTGACCATGTGTCCTGCAGGTACCCAGCTAACCAGAGGCATAAGTTGGGGGGGGGAAGTGTAGGAATGCAGATATTAGTGCTAGACATCTCTGCCTGAACATGTTCTTTGATTAGAGACACTGCCAGATGGGAAAAAGAGTATGTTGGTTTTGTTACTAAAGTAGATGATGATGATGATGATGATGATGATGATTTATTTATTTTATTTATATCCCGCCTATCTAGTCGGTTAAGACCACTCTAGGCGGCTTACAAGAAACATACAGCAATATATATAAAAACAATACTACATAAATAAAGATCACACAAGCCTGAAATCTTCCCCTCTCCATGCTAAACCTAATATGCTTTCCAATATTAAACTGAGTTGTTGAGCTTTCCAGTATTGATTTGTGAGCTAGAGACTGAAAGTGAAACTTTCAGATAAGTGCTACGGAAATAATCTAGACAACCTATTATTTATATTTCTATATATTTATTATGAATCTCTGTAAATTGCAACTTCATCCAAAAACAGATTTCAGTATTTTTTGGAGATCCATGTAGAGAAGCCTGTTCTCAAATGTGCAAAGCATTCCATTGTTTGGAGTGCTTTTTATATAGAAAAGTTACTTTTAACAATTTCCCTTTCCTATCAGGTGGGTATGAAATCAAGGTGGTGGTCAGGGTGCAGTGGGAAGAAAAGGAAGTTTCACTTGACATTCTGATTCTTTATATTACCCTAGATAATGGTAAGAGAAGGTCATGGACAGTGTCAGACCTTGATGTTGGACTTGAAAACAACTCCTCGTGTCATTCAGGAAGTAAAAAACAGCAGTTTTTGAACTGTATGTTGTTGCATAAACCACAACAGAAATTATTGTTATGCTCCAATCAACAATCAAGTCATTTTATTTTAAAATAATTATCTTTCAGCATGATAAATCAGTATGGTGCAGTGGATAGATTACAATTAACTTGAAATGGAATGCTTTATGTTAATTTTAACGTCTTTTGATTTTATCATAATCACATTCTGTGGGTTCATTTCAATTTAAGAATTGTTTGTCTTTCTGAGAGAGATGTAATTAACACAAAGAATGATTCATAAATTATTTTCTCTCTTTCCCTGTTTCTCCCTCACACACAAGGCACGCATTTTTCTGATGTTAGGACTGGGAAATCACCACAGTCAGCAGAAGCCAAGATATTAAACCACAGCTTGAATCTTATTTAAGATCCTGCTCTGTTTTGCTCCTGGGTGCTGTCGTTTCTCAGTTCAAATGTCACAGGAAATAATGGTTTAATTAGTTCAGGAAGTGTTGGGTTGGGAGGCATGAAAAGGGAAGAAGGATGAAATTGTGAGGATGATACACATGAACAAGACTTGTGAATATCTCAGTTTAAGAAGTTAAGATATGTGTATCAGATAAAGTCCATGGACATGTAGAGTATTCCACCTGTGACATACATGGTATAAAGCCTGTGCTAACCCAAGTCATTTTTCCACCTAAGGTGGAGCACATCAACCAACCCACGGATCCCCCCCTCAAAGACAAAGCCCATGTTGCTCAAGGCTAGTCAAGTTATTAGGGCAGAAAATCCCACAAATGCCCCTCCTTTGGTTAAAATAGGTTAATAAATAAAAAGGGGGAAAGGCTCAAAAGTTGGGTGCCTGAGAAAGCTGCCTCACTCTGGTGGATAATTAAGGCCAGCCATTACAACTGCAGTACTCAGTGTGGTGTCATAAATAGAGTGACCAGGTCTCTGCAGAATGGGGTTCGAATCCCCACTTGGTCATGGAAACTCATTGGGAGAATGGAACTAGTAAAGCCACTCCTTAAAGATCTCACCTATCTTGAAAGCCCTGTGAGGGACACTACAAGTCAGTTCCGACTTGAGACAACTATTGCAACTTCAAGACAGACAAAATGTATCAATTGGGCCTCTGTGGGGTGGAACTGGGTTGCATTTTTATACAAATTTTAAATAGAAGAAATGGAATTTGACAAGATAGAATGGCATCTTGTAATCAATGAATCTTTTTATAATTCCTCTGGCATTTTTAAAGAATTTTTTTTTAAATCAAGGAGCAGTCTTTCAGACCAATAGTATGTCACTTACATTTTATTTGTTTTTAAATACACCTATCTCTGTTACCAAAATACTGATGGCATCTTTGTATTTTCAGATGTCCACTGCTGAATATATAATTCCTCAGAAGCAAGTACCATTTTGTTCACAGGTCTTTGGTTTAAGGACCTTTACTTCCTTAAAAGAGTTACATAATTTTTCACAAGTCTGAATGATCCCAGTAAATGAGTACTTTACTGAATATGTTTGTTGCCCTTCAAGTTGAGATTTTCATTATGAATGCCCTTGTTCAATCAGCCATGTTTTCAGTTCACAATGAAAATTGTAATTTGAAGAATAATGTAGCACTTCAGTTACAAGAAATGTTGTTTATAAATCACAGCAGTTTTCAAGTGTATCCCTAAAATTATGGGAACTCATTGGTAATAGTATTAAGAGCAGTAACAAGACATACAATGCCCAAATGCTAAAGAGTGCAGGGCTTCTGCACCTTTAATAGTTATGTAGATAAGAAGGTTTCAGAGAGTGTAAATTGGTAATAGTCCTGAAATACTGTTTTCTATACAGTGATCAAAGATGCAGGAGGCCTGTCTTCTTCTGTAGCATACATTGCAGGTAGCAAGTGGTGGCCTTTTTTGTCTTCGTTTTCTCTTTTTATTCAATACCTGCAGGTATTTTTGTCCTTTGCATCCTTGGGAGCTTAGTGCCAAAATGCAGGATGAAAGTATAAAAAATAAAATAAAATGCATAAACAAACATTTTAGATTCTGAACTCATCTGACTGATTTTGAACTATCTCCAGTCCTACTTTGATTTCACTAATTGGGATGATTAATTTTGTTTCATGATCTGTTTTAAATTTGTTTTCTTTTGCAGTTCTGGGCATTAATAGTGCTTTAATAAAATGTTTTCCTTCATTTCAAGCTAATGATGGGACATGGCCAGCACTTAAACAGAGCTCTTCTCCTGTGGTAAAACCACCACAAATTCCCAGCGCAGATTGGAAAGAATCAAACATGGATGCTTTAAAGCAAGGAACTATATCCAGTCAGCCATTGTCCTCTTCAGTACTAGGAAGCACAGATAAGCTGGTGAGTTTTTTCTCCCAAATATAAAAAAATCCCATTGCTCTCTCAATTTGAGCACAGTATCTCTTGCTCATTGTCTACATACCACCCTAAACACACCAGTTTTATTTGAAGTTAAGAAGTGTTACTGTCAGTATTTTGGATGATAAGCAGGGTCAGACCTGAAAGACCACCAAGGGAACAGAAGTGATCCTCTGGTAGATCTGGAAACAAATCATGTCTGAAACCTTGGAGAGCTGCTGCCAGTCAGAGTTGACAATACTGGTCTACATGGACCAATTGTCTGACTCTGCATAAGGCAATTTCCTGTGTTCTTTGTATCTCATTATGAATATTTTCTAGACCGTTCTGTTTTCTCTCCAGGATATAAACAGTATATCCAGCTTTGCAAACTCTTCTGTTAATCTTTTCCAGAGTGTTGACATGGGGAAAGTAACACCAACCATTTCTGGTGTAAGCAAGCAGTTGCCTCAAAACTATGGGACCTATCCAAGCTCTGTTCCTTTAGGAACAAGTTCTACCAATTCCCTGGAAAGACGGAAGGATGGCAGCTTACCAAGACCTGGCTCCACAGCAGCAAACCGGCAAAGACCTGTGCCATTGCCACCAGCAAGTGGTGTTCATCCGCCTGGCTCCTCACAACAAATACAACAGAGAATATCTGTGCCTCCAAGTCCTACATATCAACCTTCTGGTGCTCCATTGTTTCCAGGTGGAGATGGCAGGCCTGATCTCCCCTTAACTGTGGCCATAAGGCCTTTCTTAACAGATAAAGGCTCAAGGCCCCAGTCTCCTAGGAAAGGGCCCCAAACAGTGAACTCCAGTTCCATTTATTCAGTGTACCTTCAGCAAGCAACACCACCAAAGAACTACCAACAGGCTGTATATAATACCCTAAATAAGTCCGTTAAAGCAGGTACAATAATTTGATGTCGCTTTCTCTTCAAAAATGTTTCAAATGCTTCATAAGTAAACAATGCAAATAGGGGTTTGAAATAACTTAAGGTTTTTCCTGTAACATGGTGTTAATTCAAATGGTCAAAAACTTGAGCACTCTGTTAATCTAGAAGTCCTCAGTAATTGACACAGAATACATCGGAGTATTGCATCATATTAGGACGAGTAATATGAACAACCTTTGCTATTAATCTAAAATTGAGCATTCCTTCTCCACATCATAGAAGTCTGAAAAAACTTGAGTATCTTGAGACAAAAAAAAGGCAGGAGATTGTCTGCACCAACCCAGATATTACTTTTGGGACTGTTTTTATTTAGCAATTTTGTGAGTGCTTGTGAGCAAAGAAGCAGGTAATATGGAATTTTTTATTTTTTAAATTTCCAACAAAACATTATTTGGTGATATATATGCTTGGTGAGCATCTTTAGTATGACACCCCTTGTTCTCCTATATTCTCTGAGTTTAGCACATCTTACCTATATTTACAAGATAATTTGCAGGAGTCTAAAATGCAGCAATACCAAACAGTAGATATAGTTAAGGCATTTAAAAAAATCTTTTGTGAAGACCTCTGTATTTCTAGTAACTTGATGTAAATCTCTTAAGGTTGGCCTCTTCTGAATGACACTTCATGATGTGGTCACAACAAATAACTATCAAATTATAGTTACTCAAAGGATTTGTTGATATTTTTAATTTGTGGCAGATTAATTTTTATGCTAATTTTTACAGTCCTTAATGGTTTATGATCTTTTCCCTGGCTGAGCACTTCTCCCTCAAAACATCTACCTGTCCCACCCACACTTCTCATATTGGGAGGCTCCAAGTGGCCACCTCAAGGAAGGCACAAAAATCAGTCACTCAAAACCAGACTTTATCTGTGGTGGCCGCTTCACTTTGAAACACCCTCCCATCAGAGGTGCGACTGGCTCCATCCCTCCTGGGTTTTAGGAGACAACTGAAGACCAGCTTGTTTTCCCAAACCTTTCAATAGTTTGCCCCTAAATAAGTAATTTTATGTATCCCTTCTGCTGCCAGTCTGCCATTAATTTTCACTGTTTTTTATTGTTGTTGTTCTTGCTGCTATTTATGACTTTGTGTCCTTATGTTAGCAGCCCAGGCCTGTAATCTACTTGGGCAGGATATGATTGATTGATTGATTGATTATATATTAGGAGACATTGCAAAATAAAACCCATCGTAATTTCAAACAAGTAGCAATGCTAACACCGAGTTACTCCATATTATGTCTGAATTGTCCCTCACTATTACTCTTTCCCTTCAGTTTATGGGAAGCCTGTTGTACAGTCTGGTTCGACTTCTCCTTCGCCATTGCCCTTCCTTCATGGATCTCTGCCTCCTAATGCATCTCAACCTCAGCCCCAGCCTCCAAGCGACTACAGTGAAAAAGATCAAGAGCTGGAAAACACCCCACCCACCAGTGAAAACAGCAATGTAGAAAACATCCCTCGTCCCCTCAGCCCCACCAAGCTGACACCTATTGTCCATTCACCCCTTCGCTACCAAAGTGATGCTGATCTTGAGGCTCTTCGCAGGAAACTAGCCAATGCTCCCAGGCCCTTGAAGAAACGAAGTTCTATCACTGAACCCGAAGGCCCCAGTGGACCGAACATTCAGAAACTGTTGTACCAGCGCTTCAACACCCTGGCAGGAGGAATAGAAGGTGCTCCGTTCTATCAGCCAGGAAACACACAGGACTTTATAGGCACCTTGGCAGATGTTGACAATGGGAACACAAACACCAATGCCAATATTGAGGAGCCCATTTCCGCAGCCCCAACAGCTCCTCTTCCTGAGGAGCCCTCCTCAGATGCCAATGATAATGAACTGCCATCTCCTGCAACTGAGGACATGATCAGTGTTGAAACTACAAATCAAACATCTGAAACTACTGAGGATGATAACAACAACAACAATCCTGCTGTAGCCCCTTCTGTTGAGCGCCCCCCTAGTCCAACACCTGAGGCCAATTCCCCAGAGGAGGAAGAGGAAGAAGAAGAAGAAGAAGTGCAGCTGCCGCCAATGCTTCCTCCTCCTCCTCCTTTTCCTGTGGTAAGGCAGCATAGCGAAACAAGTATGAATTGGGTGAGTCAGGCAGGGCTAGAAAAAGCTGCTGTCAGTGAGCATCTCCACTTTAGGCCATGTGTCCTAGACCTTCCTACTACTGCCACACCAGATATTCGCTTCTTCATATAAAATTTTTGATTAAGCATAAATGGCAACAGATGTGCAATGTTTGCTGGATTTAGGGTAAACATGTCACCAAAGATAGAACTACAGATACAAAGCCAACATTTTGATATAATCTGGTATGTAGTATCTGTTTTGGCTGAGATCTTTATTCAAGACTGTACACAACATGTGGCTCACTAGAATGAAAGCACTATCTGGCAACCAAGTCTGTGGGCTGTAGGCAATTGACAGCTTTCTTGCTTTGGTTTTCCCAGAGAGGCAGGAAAGGAGGTTTATCAACTTCCTAATGAGCAGTATTTGGCTTAATGCTAAATTCGTTGTATGGGTATGCGATGTATATACTTACATTAACAAAAAATTTATTTAATATTTAATGTTGCACTTGTACCAGTGTAAGGCCTTTACAACTTCCAGTTGATGGATTAGGATCCACAGATGCATTGCATTCCCAGTTTCATTGGGTCATACCAGTTGCATCTTTTAATAGACCGATGCCTATTATCCTAAGGTTCTAGAATAGGTCAATCAGGACTCCTTTCAGCTGGATTAGGAACAGATTTTACTTAGCTCCTTGACAGATTTCACTGGGGAATAGTACAGTTTAAAATCTTGTGATATTAATTTTAAAATAACTTTGTTACCCAGGCCAAAAGGACCAATCTGAAGAAACCCAACTCTGAGAGAACTGGTCATAACTTGAGGGTTAAATTCAATCCCTTGGCCCTGCTGCTGGATGCCTCCCTGGAGGGAGAGTTTGACCTTGTGCAAAGAATCATATATGAGGTAAAAGTGGTAGCATGGCTAGGTTCTCCTGTGGTGTCTTAATGGTGGAAAATATTTGTTCATACAGTCAGTCCTTGTTACATCCTGCTTTAGGTGGATGATCCCAGCAAACCTAATGATGAAGGCATCACACCTCTCCATAATGCCGTGTGTGCTGGTCACCATCATATAGTGAAGTTCCTGCTAGATTTTGGTGTCAACGTCAATGCAGCAGACAGTGATGGATGGTAAGAGGAGACAACCAAGCACAATCCTGCCTACATTCAGATTGAAATATAAACTAATAACCACCCGTTCATAATACAATTCTGTTTTGGTATACAGTATATGATCATGCACTTTGTGCTAAGTCAACTTTGTCTGCTTTGTTTCAGGACTCCTTTGCACTGTGCTGCCTCTTGCAATAGTGTTCATCTCTGTAAGCTTCTTGTTGAATCTGGAGCAGCAATTTTTGCTTCAACTATAAGTGATATAGAAACTGCAGCAGATAAGTGTGAGGAGATGGAAGAGGGTTATATTCAGTGTTCCCAGTTTCTATATGGTAGGTAATAAGATGGTACATCTTACTTTGATGTTTCAGAGCTTCACTTGAATGACTCCTGTAATGCCTGGCTATATTTAAATATATTGTGATATGTATATTGATTGAAAAGTATTGGTTTGGTAAGTATGTAATGGGAAGGGGTGAGTGAGGAGCACAGAAAGTTGGTAAGCATGGCTTTGGTGGGCTGGGAAAGAAACTAGATGAGGGAGAATGTGTTTGTGGGATAGAGTGTTTGGGGAGAGGGTGGTTTTGCGGTGCAGGACCTGAAAGGGAAGGTGGAGAGAGCAGTCTGAGAGGGAGAGAGAGAGATTAAGGAGGAGAAGCGATAAGGGAGAGCAAAAGATTGTGCTGAACAAAATTTAAGCCTAGAAATAAACATTCTTTAAATGCTGTTATTTTAATAAAACCTGTTCAATCTAAGTGGTGCCAAGTCCAGTACAGTGGTGCCTTGCATAGCGAGGTTAATCCGTTCCGGATTAACCTTCGCTATGCGAAAACATCGCTAAACGGGAATAAAAAAGCCATAGAAACGCATTGAACTTTGTTCAATGCGTTCCTATGGCTTTAAAACTCACCGTTAAGCAATGTTTTGCCATAGTGCCGCCATTTTCTCGCCCTCGGGAAGTGAGGGCGCTTTGGTGGGCTGGGAAAGAAACTAGATGAGGGAGAATGTGCTTGTGGGATAGAGTGTTTGGGGAGAGGGTGGTTTTGCGGTGCAGGACCTGAAAGGGAAGGTGGAGAGAGCAGTCTGAGAGGGAGAGAGAGAGATTAAGGAGGAGAAGCGATAAGGGAGAGCAAAAGATTGTGCTGAACAAAATTTAAGCCTAGAAATAAACATTCTTTAAGCACTGTTATTTTAATAAAACCTGTTCAGTCTAAGTGGTGCCAAGTCCAGTATCTGAGAGTTGTTTATTTGAATGATGTTATAAGGCCCTAGGTACAGGGAAAGACACAGGGGGAACTAAAGGGTGATGGTAGAGAAAGAGGAAGAGAGGAGATAAGTGAAGAGTGTTGAAGAAAATAAATTTATTCCTACGTTATTTAAAGATACCATTACCTAAATAGCCAAGTGACAAGAGAAAGGGAGTGCTGACATCTGTATCAGAGAGAAGGGGTGTGACATTTCTTAGCTGATGGTCTGCAGTGTGTTCGTGCTTACTAAAATGACAAATGTGCAGATTGGCAGTAATAATGATTTTGTCAAATCAGATAAATGCAGAGAGGAAAAAACTAAGATAGCATCCACCATTGTTAACTGAAAGAATTTTGACAGCAATTAATTGAAATAAAACTATATTTGTTGATGACAGGTGTACAGGAGAAACTGGGAGTTATGAACAAAGGCATAGTATATGCATTGTGGGATTATGAAGCCCAGAACAATGATGAGTTGTCATTCCATGAAGGAGATGCAATTACCATCCTGAGGCGCAAAGATGATAATGAAACAGACTGGTGGTGGGCCCGTCTTAATGACAAGGAAGGCTATGTTCCTAAAAATATCTTGGGGGTAAGTTGAGCACACTTTGGATGTTGTTATGGATTAGGTACAGGCTGATTTACAGTTGTATTTCTTTTTCCACTGCTTGCTGATAATATGCAAAACATCTTGATCGGTATACTACTTGTCCAAGCTACTATTACTCAAGACTGAATGCACTCTCATTTTTCTTCCTGGGGCCAAACTAGACTTAATGAAGGACGCAGTGTCTTTTGCAAGCCTAAGAATGTAATGAGAAGAGCAGTCATATTTCCTACCATAACCTGTGTCACAAATTTATGGAAGAAAAACAGTGGAACTGCAGTTTAAAAAAAATACTCCTGCTCTAATAAGGTTTGGAAATTACTGTGGTTCCACTGTGGTAACTTTTACAAAATTGTCAAGAGTTTCCATGCGTTTGCCAAGCTGTTTCATTCCGTTCACTGCTTCCTCTCAGCTACAAAGTTGCAAGATCAAGAACACTATTGACCAGGAAAGCTGTTCTCACCACTTTGAATTGCTAGCATAGTCTTGTGGAAGAATTCTCTAACAAATGGCTTTGCACAGTAGAGATTCTTACAGTTCCTTCTGGGCCCTGAGTACTGCTGCCAGTGAAGATAAAAATTATCTAGATTCCTGAATTTGGAAGTAATTATATACTAAGCAGACTTTTAAGTGAGGGGCTTTGACTCACTAGTAGAGCATACAGAGCCACCCTCGCAGCTCAATCTCCATGAGGGTCTAAAAAGAATTCTGCCTGAAACAAAGAACAGCCACTTCATGTCCCATTTAGAAGTACTGAATCAGATTATTTTACAGACATGGAACATAATTTTATGGAACTGTTCACCATAAACATTGCTTTTGAACACATGGTAGCAATTCCTCAAATCTAAGAATAATTCTGCAACAAGTATAAAGACTGTATTTAATTCTGATTTCATTTTATTGCAGTTATACCCAAGAATAAAACCTAGGCAACGAACTCTTGCCTGAATTCCCATCATTGGGAGTACAGTATCTTGCTGGCGACTGGAAGATGAAAGTATACACTGGAGACATTTTCAATTACATTTCACCAGAAGTAAAGCTATAATTGTTTTAAATGGTGCTCTTGTTTAATATAATGGACAGCATTTGAGATTTTCAATCTGCAGTTTGTAAAGTGAGGTCTGCTCTATGTTAACCTACCCATTCACTGGGCATGGTACTCAGAACACAGCCTACAGTATTTTTTTGCCAACTGAATTAAAAAAACAACACTTGTGCTAGATGTTAAAACATTTGCAAAATGCAGATATGCTGTCTGTTCAGTTCTAGTCCACAGTAACTGTCCTGAAATGTCAAGACTTTTACTATTAAAATTGTCAACTGAGTGTTGAGTTCACTGTATATATCTGTAGAGATCTTGGCAAACATTGGTATCAGGGAGTTACCAACAGTCTTCGGGAACAAGGATTACCAAAATGGCAAGAGAAGCATCAATGTTGAATGGATTTTGCACACTTCTCAAAATCGCACTTGTTCCTTCACTTGATGTTTTTTCTTGGTATTCTTCTGTTAGCACCAGTTAGCTTCCCCCCCCCCCTCCAAGTCCATTGCACTGTCTCAAACACATACCCTGAATTCCATCTTCTGGACAAACCTGCATTCAGATTTAAGGGATTTGTATGTCTTGTATGGAAGAAAGTGCAATAGTTGAGAAGGGTAAGAGTTATGTTATAAAAAGCTAAGAGGTTCAGTTTAAGGACCTTTACATTTTATCTGTGAAAGTAGGACGGTGATTGAAGGGATGAATATAAAGGCCAGGCTGGTTGTATAAAGTGAAGATAGAGAGGAGAGACTTATGGCAAAGATGACCTGCTGTTTGGGCAAGGGCAATGTCTGTAGTTCTCGACAGCCCTGCCTCTTGTGCCAGGGTGAGTTATGCAATAACTTAATCCACTATCTAGTTTCAAGCAAAAAAAAGCACTTCACTGGAATATTATTTGTACATGATTTTATATACAGAAGTCTATTTTGAACTGCCCATTATGTTGTAGCCACACAGGTTTTATAATTTCTTCCCTTTGAACTGTAGGCCAATTGCTATTATTCATGTATACGTTGTGCATAATTTATAGCCATTGATGCAGTGCTGTAACTTGCTTTTCCCACTGTTTAGCATTACCTGTATATATTGTGGTGATGAGAAGTGAAAGGGTATTGTAAAAGAATATTTGCTAAATGAATGTGAGTGAAAAGCCTATGATACACTGCTCATCCAGTGTGCACAATAAAAACTACTGCTAAGGTATGGTTGCATTTGCAGGTGCTTCTTTTTTAAAAAAGCATTTTAAAAACAGTACTGCCATACAAGTAGGGCATACTTTGTTTAACCAGGCTTTCTTCCAGAATTCTTCAGCAGATTTTGTGGACATCTACAGCACTGATACCATGTATCAATAGTGGCATTTAAGATCTTCCAGTTTAAAACTGCATTTTTAGAGTAACCCATGCACTTCTGTAGAACTCCTTAGAAACAGAAGGAAATTTCTTAATGGGAGAGACTGGTAGACAGAGGACACCCATAATAACAGCTCACTGAATTTACAGTGAGGTGGGACAATTCTAAATTGTACCCTTGGCTGGTGTGGTGTAATTGTGAGGCCCTGCAGATCTTGTGATGTGAATAAAACAGCCAAGTGAATGGGAAAATTGTTTGCAAAAGTACAAGTCTGAAAACTACCCAGTGTTTTCACCCCTCAGATGTAGCTATTTATACAATTTCACACTAGAGAAGGCCTATACATTTCCAGCATTGCCAGTTTCAGCCTGTTACAAAACCCGGGTAAAGCACCAGTTTGTTCATTTGTCTTACTAGGTACCATGAGTACTACCACAAACAGGCTTCTCTAGTATTTAATAAGGTTTTATTAGCCAAAGCTAGAATTACCACAAAGCATGAATATAAAACTTCAAAAATCTGTCTTGGTAGCTTCATTCAAAAAGATCAAGTTATACAGAACAGTTTGTGGTATTTGGTAAATCTTATTTTACAAAAAAAGTGTATAACCTCATGATACAAACCCCTCACCACAAGAGAAACTGTGTGTTCTATAAAATGATACCTAAGGCAGATTTCAGCGATCATTTAGATATGAGGAAAAGAAAAACCTGAGATCTACACACCTGAAAGCCTATTCTCTTGAACATCAAACAAAGTTTCTTTTTAAAATGAATTATACAGTATACATAATCTGTACTACAAAAGTTGTGCTATACATTTAGCAATAGTGCAGGTCACACTTCATTTTATATTGTGCAGACAAGATTTAACAAAATAAAGTCATAGATGCAAGGCTCTATTTAAAGCATTAATAAACTGTATACATATTGCACACTAAATAAGTGAATACTTATAGGTCAAATACTCACATTGTAATTGGCCAGTGCTCACATGATGAACCACATTTAGGGCAGGAAGGGAGGAGTGGGGGAGCAGGAAAGAATCCCTATTACCAAGAACTTGTTATCATGTGTCAGCCAGCAAGTAGTAAGAAGCTTATTCTTACAGCTCCTCTTTTCTTCTCATGAGAGAAGTTGTTATTGGTCCCGAGATTCATAAAGGAGTTTTGCTGCCTGCAATAAACAATGACAATCAAGAAACAATGTTTAATTTTAACAAAATCCTGAAAGCCAATACTTCTTCCAGAACTTCTTTAGGCTAAATAATCTTCATCCTAGATTATGTACTATTTAATAACACAATACTGAATCAAGGAAGTGAATACTAAGATTTCATTCTAATTAAATGGGAGGGAGGACGAAGAAAAAATAGACAAAAAAGTAAAATACTGTGGCACTTTAAATACTAGAGATTTATTTCAGTGTGAGATTTCATGGATCAAAATCCACTTCTGCACATACCACAAATGCTCACACCAAAATAAATATTTCTAAAAATTTTGCTTCTTTCCTCGCTTCCCCCCTTTTCTTCCCCCCACTTTAATTTTGCTAATCTGCTGATAAAAACTAACATGATTGATTACTTGGAAGTTAAGAGAAAGAGAGCAATTATAAAATTAGTTTTCCCCAAGGCAAAAGCTGTTTCTTCCCTTGAAATATCCTTAATATTATATTATTTTTAACTGTAAGAAAAAAGTTCAGTGTTACACCGAGGTATACACCAGCCCATCTTATGTCTTCAGATAGGCAAGGTAGCTTCACACTGTTCTTTCTGACACACATGTTATTACAGTTGGCCCATGTAGATATTAACCACAGAAGGTGCTTTAGGATTGCAATTCCCAGATAGCACAGCTAATTGTGAAGACCTCTGGGAATTGCAGTCCAAGAACACCTGGGTTACTCAAGGCTGGGGACCATGGACATAGAGGGACAACTACTCTGGGAAGGGATTGCAGAAATGCACAGAAAATAAGACTGTCAGTAGCTAATAATTTATTTAAACAGCTAGAGAGCTGTTTCCACATCACATTCTGCTTATGAGTTACTCATAGGCACCTGACTGGCTGGTAGGGAAAGCAAGATCCTGAACTAAATGGGTCTTCGGCCTGATTCAGGACGGATCTTCTTACAGAGATGTGATGGACATAAAGCTACCTGTAACATGTCATCTAGTTACCTTATGCATGGCTGCTAGCCAGGTAGTTGACAGCTTTTTGTTGGAGCTGAAGTCTTCACCAGCAGTAAATTTAAGCTGCTTTAATTCTTCTGACCCTGGAACCTTGTACTGAAGGAGCATACCTGTAGCACGAGTATTGCCTCCTAGGGAAGAAAAGCAGCAGCTGAGGATAAAAGTGATGTAGCTGTTGTTCTACAGCAAATACTAGGTCTACAAAATGCAAGTATTTTAGGATTCCACATGACAATAGGCAAAATCCTACTGCGCAACCATGCATGTGCAACTCAAGATTGTTCTCATGGTAGTTACGATAGTACTGAGGCAGAAGGGCTATCCATGAAGCACTTCTGTTGGTGCACTGCACAACTGGCCTCACTGGGGACATACAACTAACTGTGCAACCAAACAGTGTAATTTCTAGCACATGTACACCAACATTCCTTTACAGTGACATGAACAAGATTTTGTCCATAGTTTAACTCCGCATCTCTTCCTCGCCCTGGTCAATGAAATATTATGTAGCAAAGAATGTTAGTGTCTTAACCCAGGTAAGGCAGTCAGGCTAAGAAGGAGGTGACATCAGCAAAATCTTATTATGCAGAAGGCCTGTGGCTAAGTAAGTCTCTAAAGCTTGTTGCTTTGAGTTGTATACTGTTTTTACTTAAGGTTGTAATTTTAAAAAATCCTATGCAACTGGATATCCTAACTTTCCAATTTCTTGAAAACATTTTGTGAAGAGATTATATGCTACACAAAATACTAGTTTTGAAATATGCTCAGGGCATCCAGAATTTTGCACTGAACTGTTGTGCAACTAGCCTTTATGACTCATAGGTTATCATTAGTACACTGAGTAGTAAATGTTAGAATTTGATGTTCTTTGTCACAGATTAGCAGTATGGAAGAACAAATATATGAGGAAACATTAAAGGACATAAAGTCTTTAGGAAGGGGTGCAGAGTGACAGTCCCACTCATGGATTATCTAGTTTTCTCCCAACATTTCCACTTTTAGAAGATGTAGCCCCAATATTTAAGATCCCTCTCTGCAAAGAGTAACAAAGTTAAATCCAAGTTCTAATCATTATTTGGCATTCATATTCCATGATCTTCAGTTTTTTATACTTTCTCCACATGAAACTGATCCTGACTATAACCAGAAGAACAATATCTTTTTTTTAGTACATTCTAAAGACAGTAATCCTTTTGCAGGAAATAGGCCTAAAGGTTATAATCATAGTAATCACACCAACAATACTACACAAAGTACTATGCAGCCTGGCTTGAAGCATTTTGAAGATCATAGTTTTGTATAAAGAATTTAATTTAACCTTTAGTGTGAGGCCAGTGCTGATGGTTTAGATTTATAGGGTTAAACCGATGCTGCTGAACTCTACAATGATACGATACTATTTTGTATTAACAGAACCACTACAAACGAAATATTATCCTAAATATCCTAAAGATAGAATGTTGAAAGCTTTCCAGTTGTCTCATCTGATTCTAAATAGAATCAGCAGGCAACGTTCCTAGTGGAATTAACTAGTTTCTGGAAATCAAACATTAACAGAGGCCTTGACTTGTTGCAGAGTATTACAGCATTGATTTAAGGAGAGCAAGTGAGCAAAACCGGCAGTAGGTTACGCAAGTACAATGGCAGTAAAAAGACAAAAGACATGGATAGGAGGGAGTGAGCAGATGGTGGTGCCACTGGCTGATTAGCTTAGCAGTGAACAGTGATGTGGCGGGTAAGGTTTTCCATTGTGGAAAACGTTCTCCATTTCTGTGGGGAAAAAAAAATCCTATTTCTAAGAACACAAAACTGATCATTAAGACAATAAATGAATACAATATAAGAACATTGGAGCAGTTTTAAAAATTGTACGAGTATTATACCTATAACATGCCACCACGTAATTAATGCTTGTAACTCTCTGACAATGAAAAGATCAGTATGTCAGTAGTTTTCAATGCCTTTGAGGCTTCTTCCTTAAAATGTAAACAATATAAGTGAACTATTCAGTACTATAATAAAATAATGTTTTGAATCTAAATCAAATTATGTTTTATTGGATATTTTCTAATCAAGTAACATTTAGCGCATTTTCTATAACTTTGAGATATTCACACAGCAAGCAAAATTAACATGCTATAATTTTTAATTCTGGTTACTGACTACAGATAAAAACAATATGCTAAAATCAGATTCCCAGTTTCAGATACAAGAAAAACAATCCAGACTTTTTTTTCCAAATGAAATTTTTCCAGGAGACTGACATCACTCACAATCAGAAGGAATATACAGTATGGGTAAAAACTAGACATATATTAACACACACACCCCACGCACAAATACATTTGCTTGGGCTGATCACAATCTACTGAAAGCCTGAAAGCTTCCTAAAAAGAAATTCAAACAGTTCGCAGACTCTGTTCAGTTCACACAGTGCTAGACTTCAGAAAGCAACCGAGTAAGCAACAAATAAGACTTTGTATTCTTGAAGGCTTTCACAGCCGGGATCTGATGGTAGTTGTGGGTTTTTCAGGCTCTTTGGCCGTGTTCTGAAGGTTGCTCTTCCTTCTCTGTGGCTGGCATCTTCCAAGGACTGGAGGACGAACTCTGTCCATGCTCTGTTGTCAATTTCAGTCCTCTGAAGATGCCGGCCACAGAGACTGGCATAACGTCGGGAAGAACAACCTTCAGAACACAGCCAAAGAGCCCGAAAAAACCCACAACAACCATCAAATAAGACTTTATTGCTTACTGTTCTTCAACACAAACCAAGAAGCTCTACTGTTTTCAGATATTAAAAAAGACGTTTTTAGCTTGCCCAACTCTCTCTTCTGCTCTTACATCCCTAGTGTAAAAGAAATAATTCTTTCTACTGATGCATTGTAATAGAAAAAAATGCAAAGCAGAAATTATCTAGAAGTGGATTCAGGTCCCTGAAATACTTCATTTACTATTCCATCTCCTCTGTCTGGTGGCAACCATAGGCCACTAGATACCCTAATAGATTCACCAAGTAGGCCAGGCCAGGCCAGGCCAGCCTATTTCATCCCATCTAATTCATTCGATATCTATACCACCCATCTGCCGTGCAGGGACACCCATGACGGGCAGGTCATAGTGGAGAGTTCACGCAATGCACGTGACGCAGGAACTGGCAAGCCACTCCAGTATCTTTGTCAAGAAAACTCCATGGACAGAAACAAAAGGCTAAAAGATATGGCACTGGAGGATGAGCCCCTCAGGTCAGAAGGATAAATAAATAAATAAATAAATAAATAAATAAATAAATAAATAAATAAATAAATAAATAAATAAATAAATAAATAAATCATCACCGCGGGGAGGGGGGCGATGATAACTTCCGCAATGGCTCAAGGGGGCGTTTCTTTCAAAAAGGTTAAGAACCACTGCCCTAATAGATTCACCAAGCAGGCCAGGTCAAGCCAGCCCAGCCTATTTCATCCCATCTAATTCATTCGATTTCTATACCACCCATCTGGCTACCAAGGCCACTCTGAGCAGTTCACAAGAGAAAAAAAGGCAATAATCAACATCAACAAACCAAAATACAACAACATCAGATAGTAAAGAAAGATTAAAATACACTAAACATTATAAATTATTTATAAACATTATGAACTTAAATTAACCCACAAAAAACAATTAATAAAAACACTCAAGGTGGCAGGATCACCGCCTTAAGGGTTGGTATATGCACTGTGCTCTATTGGTGGTATATTCCCAACACCTGTATAAATAGCCAGGTTTTTAATGATCCCTTGGTAAAGGTAAAGGTAAAGGTTCCCCTTGACAATTTTTGTCCAGTCGTGTTCGACTCTGGGGGGCGGTGCTCATCCCCGTTTCCAAGCCATAGAGCCAGCGTTTTGTCTGAAGACAATCTTCCGTGGCCACATGGCCAGTGCGACTTAGACATGGAACGCTGTTACCTTCCCACCAAGGTGGTCCCTATTTATCTACTTGCATTTGCATGCTTTCGAACCGCTAGGTTGGCGGGAGCTGGGACAAGCGATGGGCACTCACTCCGTCACGTGGATTCACGACTGCTGGTCTTCTGACCCTGCAGCACAGGCTTCTGCGGTTTAGCCCGCAGCGCCACCACGTCCCTTAACGATCCCTTGAGGGGGCCCAATTTCTGTCTTTTCCTTCTGAGTCTCTCTCGGGTCATATTCCTCAGCTGCCTCATCTGAAACAAATTAGTAAGATGGGCAGAACTCATTGAAAGAAGGTGTCCCACCAAGTATCGAGGCCCCAAACCATTTAGGACCTTGAATGTTAGTGTCATCACCTTAAAGCTGGTGCAGAAATCAACAGACGTCCAGTGTAAGGCAGCCATAGTGGCAGAAAAATGTATTTAATCAATCTAAAAGTCTGGCCACCATATTCTGGATCTCCTAAAATCTCTGTAACAGCTTCCTGGGTGGACCCACATAGAGCATTACAGTAGTCTATTCTCAAGACTACCAATGCATGGACCAGAGAGATGAGAAACCGGGTGTCAATGTAGGGATGCAGTTGCGCAATTCATCTAATATGGAAAGAGGCAAAATGAATCACAGATGCTATCTGGGTGTCCATCGACAGTGCTGAGTCCAGTAGTATGCCCAAACTCATCCTTTGCTTGTCTATCTAACAAGTAAAACTACCCACAAAAGTGACAGCTAGAGCAGTTTGCCCCCTTCACAGATTGCTGTCTTGTCGTGGCGAAGGGGCTTAAGTAATTCAGAGAAGCTATGGGCTATGCCGTGCAGGGACACCCAAGACGGGCAGGTCATAGTGGAGAGTTCACGCAATGCACGTGACGCAGGAACTGGCAAGCCACTCCAGTATCTTTGCCAAGAAAACTCCATGGACAGAAATAAAAGGCTAAAAGATATGGCACTGGAGGATGAGCCCCTCAGGTCAGAAGGCATCTAACATGCTACTGAGGAAGAGCGGAGGACAAGTACAAGTAGCTCCAGAGCTAATGAAGTGGTTCGGCCAAAGCCGAATGGACACTCAGCTGCGGACATGCATGGAAGTAAAAGGAAAGTTCAATGCTGCAAAGAATACTGCATATGAACCTGGAATGTGAGATCTATGGACCTTGGTAAGCTGGATGTCGTCAAACAAGAGATGGCAAGAATAAACATTGACATCCTGGGTGTCAGTGAAGTAAAATGGATGGGAATGGGCGAATTCAATTCAGAAGATTACCATATCTACTATTGTGGGCAAGAATCCCGAAGAAGGAATGGAGTAGCCCTCATAGTCAACAAAAGAGTAAGAAAAGCTGTACTATCTCAAAAATGACAGAATGATTTCAATAAGAATCCAAGGCAGACCTTTCAACATCACAATCATCCAAGTTTATGCATCAACCACCAATGCTAGCAAAGCTAGCAAGGTTATGCTCAAAATCCTACAAGGTAGGCTTCAGCAGTATGTGGACCGAGAACTCCCAGAAGTACAAGCTGGATTTTGAAGGGGCAGAAGAACTAGAGACCAAATTGCTAACATGCACTGGATTATGGAGAAAGCCAGAGAGTTCCAGGA